AATAGGACTTGCAGAAGAAAAGCAAAAGAGGAGATGGAGAAGGAAGAAGAGAAATGCATACAGAAGACATCTCAGAAAAATTACTCCTGTTGCTTTTTACTATTACTGGGGAGAAAGCGAAGAATGAAGGGTAGAAAAAGAGAAGGAGGAAGGTATAGTAACCTCTAGCTTAAAACTGAAAATGGATTATCCTCTGGATTTCAGCATGACTCACGAAAGACTGTAGGTAGCCTTTAATTCCCTATAGCAGGGGATTGAATAGCAAGGGATTTAGCTGATGTGTTCATACACAGTCACGTTTCAATACTGTGATCCTCCTGTAACTAGGAAAGAGGGTAGAGGGCTCCTGTGGCCCAGTCTTTCTGGGCAGACGTGCTGCAGTAATATGCCAACACATGTCCTGTGCTTGCAGTGTTTCCTTCCCACATGGCCATAATGAGAGCTCTGCATATAGAAGTTTCTAATTTACCCTGAAGGATAACATGAGCAATATAGAGTTGTCAGACATGACATTTGTTGTTGCTGTGAGCTTCATTCTCTTTACCACATGGGTGAAGTTACTTGTTTCCTCAGAGGCTTCTTGCTCTGGGTGTAGCACTTGGTCACGGAGAAAATCTTTAGATGTATGACAAGGCATACTAATAAAAAACCCCAAAACATAATTGCTGGCATCCAACTTTACAGTTCAGTGTGGGAACTACTTCTCAAAGGATGGAGGGGGAGTAGTGTAAGCTCATGTACAGCACCTCTTTACATACACAAACATAAGTGATTAGAGTTACTTCATGTCTTGTTGAAAGTACAGTTAGTATCAAGCCTTGGCTCTATTCCACTTCTGTTGTTTTCTTTATGAAAAAATAGATGTGTGTGGCCATAAGTTAAATTTTTGCTATAAATATGCACGATTAAAATTGACCCTATTTGCTCATGTGCCAATTCCCAGCAGGGGAATTTGAATAACCTAAATTTATTACTATGGCTCCTTAATTCTTCTGCTCCTCTGGCTCCAACCACGGCTCTGGCCAAAGCCAAGCTGGAGCAGATCAGAACATTTCTGCTGTATGATCAGGTAAACAGTACCCAACAGGGACAGCTGGCAGAGCTGCTGGTGCCACTGGCTTTGTACCAGGGAAAAATTCCCCTCTGATGGGAAAATCTAACCAGATCATGCACTCCTTAAATTATTGCTCTCTGGGCAAAAAATGGTGTCACCCTCCTGCATCTTGGGCTTTGGTCCGTGGGACATTCAGGGTGGTGGCAGTGGTAGCAGAGGTGAGCTATGCTGAGTACAACTGGCCCATTATCTCAGGTTGAATAATACCTTAAAAACAAGCTTATAATACACTATTGAGATTTTTCCCATCTCAAGGAAATCTGCAGTGCTGGGCACATGTCATGCGTTTTGCTGTGCTCATTTGCAGCTTGAATGGCCCAGGGGGGTCAGCAGCAGAGAGCAGGCTTTTTCACCCCTCGAGCAATGAAGCATTGAGTAAAAGTTATTATTACCAATTAGTGGTGGCATTATTATTACCAATTAGTGGCTGTATGAAGCAAATCATTAGTCTTAGTTCAGTTATTAGCAGCCAGGTGTTCATGAAATGTGCCATGTGCAGCCAGCGTTGGGCCTCAGCAGTCACTGGTGAGGTCAGTCACTGAATTTGTTGACTGCATGGGGTTTCCCCCCCCCCCAAAAAAAAAAAAAAAGTATGTTTGAATCAGTGCAGAGGAGTTTTTGTTGCTGCTGTTTTTATATACCCCGTGTGTGGATAAATAAGGCAACTTCAATCTATAGATCAGTATTCTTAAGCCTTTAATATAGTGAACTCATGATTTAAAACAAATTACTAGTGTTCATGGTTGCTGCTTCATTTGTAAGAGCAAAATTGTCATGTCAGAAAAGGGGAATTTACCCTGCAAATTACTCTTGATCAAAAGTATTGTTTCTCTAGGGCTCCTGCTCTTTATATCCTTTAATATGTAATATTTTCACATACCCATTAGCCTAATAACTTGACAAAAGACATTTTAGACAGCAGGCAGCATGGATTAAGTTCTATTTAAGAATTTAAGAAGCACTTTTATACTGTATTATAATTAAAACATTAGGAAGCTAATAGGGAAAAAAATGAATCATATCTTTAGTGTTATTTCCATATTGAACTATGTATTCAACTTTGGTGCATTTTGCAGGGGAATTCATAACTGTACTTCTATAATTATATAGAATAACTAATAAGAAAAATAAGAATAACTAATAAAGTTTCAATGCAGCAAATACTTACTGCTTAGAATTTACTTTAATCATGTAATTAGAATAGGCATGAGAAATATTTTTCATGTATCTTGGAGTAATGAGGTGGAGGCTGGAGTGTTCTTTTTGAGCGTTTCAGATCCCCTCTGATTTTCCATATTAGTGAAGAAAAGATCTGACTGGCAGTTTATTTAAGGAGACTTTACAGCAAAAGAGTTGCAGGATGGCATCAGTCAGGCCGGGTTGGTCTGAGCACTAGTTGGGCAGGGACATCTGGTGGTGCAATACAGGAATAATTGAACACTTGCAACTCAAAAGTGCAGTTTTGTTGGAGTAATTAAGGGGAAATTATGCTTATATTGTAATTTCTTTCCTCTTTCAGTATTACTCTAGAAACACTTATATGCATGTTTATATTTGAGTTTTTGTGTGGTTTTAATTTACTAAACGAAAAGTGTAAACTAAGGGCCTATTCTTGAGCTGGCAGCTTGCAGACACTACTTAATGTGTTGAATACTCTTAACTCAAAGGGTATTTAACTTACAGTCGATCAGAGGTTTAAAATTCAACCTGTGATACTGGACCTTGGTTTTGTGGATAGAGTGGCTGTATGTAAACCCTGTGCATTTGGGCTCTTTGTAGTTCTGCCAGTGATTTGCTGTGATCTCTGGGCAAAACTGATTTCGTTTGTTTCAGTCCATCACTCACCAATTGTTTCAATCCATCCTTCAGTCCATCTTTCTGTAAAAACGCTGTGATAATTTTCAGCTTCTGAATTCCATAGGTAAAGAATCATAAAAAGTGAAATGCTTACATGTCTTTGGTTACAAAGTTCTATATTAATTAAAGATACAGTAAGCAAGTTTGTTTCTCTCTGTTTACCTTGAACCCCTGTGGATCATGGATACATGACCAATATTTTAGGAACAATATTTAGACATTTTAAAAGAAACTCTTTAGGATGAATTTTCTGGTGCTGAGTGTAACTGTACTGATCCTTATTTAGCACTGTGCACATGGTGACAAAACCAAGTCCTTATGAAACATATGCATTGAAGGCTATACCCTTGGGATGAGTTTCCCAGGAGTGTTTAATGCTGTAATAATCTTACCAGCACCACCCCGGGCACTCATCTGGAAGGACAAAGCAAGACTTTCTTGAGCTGTGGCCATCTTTCATCTTGTTATACTCTTCCTGCTGTTTGTCTGTATCCAGCCATAGTAGCACAGTGTTGACCACACATGGTGCCTTCAGGGAAAGGGTGTCACATGCTTTCAGGAGGATTCAGGCACAGGCTTTCCTGGGTCAACTTGATCTCTGCAGGCAGAAGGCAAAAGATTGTGTTCATCTACTTCCACTTATGAAGCTTTTGTGACTGCAATCCTGTCGTCTCTTGGAGAAGGCGTATTCTTGAAATGATGGTTTCAATAAATTACTAGTACGTGCTCTGTGTATTGCATCAGGAATGCATGGTTACCATGATGTGTTCCCCATGCATTTCAATGAAGAAAAGGAAAAAAAAAAACCCAAGTATCTGCAATTTGCTTTGCTACTGATGTGACATTGAGAAGCCTGCTTCAGCTGCAAGCTTCAGCTCCTTTCATTATGTCCTGGATAGAAAGAAGTCAATAACCTAAACCTTTCACAGCCAATTATGGACTCTTTACTTTGGTCATTGCTCACACAATGAACCGTATAGTCTTCAAGGAAACGTATATAATTGAGCTCAGAATCAGAACAACCGCTTTGCAATTGAAAAACTGACTTTCAGATTCAGAGTAACAAGCTGCAGAGAACATAGAATCACAGAATGATTTGTGTTTGAAGGGGCCTTTAAGATCATCTAGTTCTGACGTTGAACACCTCCAGGGAAGGCATCCACAGCCTCCCTAGGCAACCTGTTCCAGTGTCTCACCACCCTCACAGTAAAGAATTTCTTCCTAATGTCTAACCAAAATGTTCCCTTTTTCAGTTTAAAGCCGTTTCCCCTTGTCCTATCACTGGACACCTTAGTAAAAAGTCCCTCCCCAGCTTTCCTGTAGCCTCTTCAGATACTATAAGGCTGGTCTAGTGTCTTCCCAGAGCCTTCTCTTCTCTAGGCTGAACAGGAGAGGTGCTCCAGCCCTCAAATCATCTTTGTGGCCCTCCTCTCAATTTGCTTCAAGAGTTCCATGGCCTTCCTGTGTTGTGGGCTCCAGAACTGAACACAGTACTCCAGGTGGAGTCTCACGAGTGTGGATTAGCGTAGATCACCACTGTGCAAAGTAGAAGAATATATCTCATAATCACTAATCCATCTATCTCTTCAGAAGAGGGTGGGGATTTTATCAAGGTCCAACCCTCCTTTCTCTCCTTGCAGTAACTGTTATATTTTGTACAACTCATCATGACTTCTTTTCCATAAAGCAACAATTCATTGTACTATGAAACCTTCCATTGTCACCCCAGTGGTTCTGTCACCATCCTTTAAAAATGTCTCCACTCTTGGTTTGGATAAAAGAGAGGAGCACTGGCATTTGTATGCTGTACCCTTTGTTTTCTGAGAAGTCCCAAGGCCATGGTGACAACTGTGAAGTCAGAGATAGCCACAGAGTTGTTGCAGTCATGCTGTTTTCCATTAATGAGAAGTTGGTGTTCATCTGCACCCCTTCTACACAATGTTTAATCACAAACAATTTAAATTGTATTGCTAGCAGCTCGTTACATAAAAAAAACTAAAAACCCCCAACTTTTCCTTTTATGTTTCAGGTGCAAAGATGGCTTGAAAGGATTTACATACTCTGCACTGAAGTAAGTAAAATTTCTCTGAGTATGCAGCTTAAAGTGAAGATTTTGAGGAATTGTTCACAGTGGCAGCTGCATTGTGTGAAATGGGTATTCCTAAGAAAAATAATGCTATTGTAAAACTTTTCCAATTTTTGGCATATATGGCATATTTTGAAGAAGACATAATGTGCTGGCAAGACCGGAATCTTTTCATGTTTGGGACTGTTATTGGAAGGAAATGCAGATACATGGTTGCATATTTTCGAAGAACATTCATCTTTCATTGTTCTTAAACTGGGATTTGTGATTCCTGATATTTTTGTGGAAGCAAATGGCAGCTGTGTTTTGACCTGGAATTCATTTGCTGTATTTCCAAAATGTTAAATGAATACAAAAGCAGTTCTGTGACCAACACCCAAATAAAGCATGGGCTTGTAGTGTATTTGTTGGAGAGATCCTAATTGCGCTGCTAAACCATGTCATGTGTCTTCCCTAGTGATCCAGGCTCTCCTAGAATTTAGCTTGTGGTGGGACCCTCTAGTGTTACCTACTCATTTGTGTAGTTACACTAAGTTCTCCCATCTTTGTCTTTCATATCAGAAGTACCAAAACATGTTATTCTTAGCTGTCCCTTATATACTCTGCTACCTGTCTGCCATTCACACAGCCTGGTGCATGGACAGGGTCAACTCACAGGGGAAGAGAAAAGCAAGACAGACTTCCTGTTGTCAGTAGTGCAAAATATTTTACAGAGTTTGCAGGTATTAAACAACAGTGGAATTTGATATAAAGTGCCAATAGTGAAATAAGTCAGTCTATAGTCCAGAAATCTGGACATGAAACTCTCCTGTGACAGTGGTCAGAAACACGTTCTGAAATCACCATTTTGCTGGGAGATTCAGTCACATACAAAAGGACAAAGTTTTTATACCCTTATTGCCCCCAGCAAGACTACCACAGTACAGTGTAATTTGGATTATAGTGCAAAGTGCTAGGAAACATCTTGCAGTCATGACCTTCCTTGCCTTTGATACACAGTAATTCTACACCTAAGATGAACCAGGATATTGACACTATCAACTTCTGGATGAAGAAAGAGGGCTGAAGATGAAGCCAAGCAACACAAATATGATGCTCTTGGTGAGAGCAAAAACATTCTGAAGATCTTTACAGAATAGATATTTTATAAAAATATTCTAGTAATCATCAACCTTTATGTAACCCCATTTTGCTGGAGATAATCAAGATATTTCATGTGCCTTTTTATTTTCTTATTTGATGTTCTTGCTTTGAATGAGAGATAGACTTCCCAGTAATATTTTTGTTCCTAGTTTAAAAAAATTCCTGGCAGCAACTGTGACAATTATCTGAAGCTTAAATACATGTTGGTGGAGTGATCTTTTCAGAGATACAAGGTTTGGCAGCTGTATAGGATGCATTTTCTTTTGCAGACCTGTGGGTAACTTAAAGGTTTCCCTAAAGACTTAGGGACTTACTTTGGATATTATGTATTTCTTTGAGTTACTTATATAATTGTTGTTTTGTTCTCTTTTGTTGTTGTTGGTTTTTTTTCAGGTTCATTGTAGGGAA